TCCCGGGTCCTCTCCAACGACCCGAATTAACCTTCATCTAGCCAGGCAGCGAGGCCGCCCGGCATAACCCGGAAAAGAGGGCAGGAAAAGTGAAATGAGTGACAAATGCTTGGCGCTCCTCCGCCGACGCGGCGCCTACTCATCCCCATCTCATCCCCATCTCCGCAGGCAGCCGGGGTGGCTATGGCGTGACGCTGCCGACCGGTCCTCCGTACTAACAGGTGTCCCCCCGTCTTTGCTTTTCAGCGTTTAACCTTCTCGTGCCCTCCTTCCCCATTCCCACTGTCGTAGGAGGCAAAAAAACAAGTCAGCAGTTGTACTTGGAAGAAAGGAGGGCGGCCTGACCGCGAGAAGGCTGGCTGTGGAAGGGCGCCGGCACCGTTCTGCAGGACCAAAGACACAGCCAGCTAGGCCGCAAAGCCGGGGCGTCGCGTAGCCAGCGGCACCGACCAGAAGCGCGGCGGGGAGGCCGGGGCCCAGTGCACATACTCACCAAATCTGGAACTTGAGCAGCGGCCCCGTGGCGTACTGCATCTTTAATCTCTTGCTGGGCATGCCGCCCAGGTTGGCCGAGGCCTCGCTCCGGACCACCGCCGACGCCGCCACCAGGAGAAGCAGCAGAAGCCTCATCTTAATTGAGACAGCCGCTTCAGCAGACCTCAGAGTGATACTGCAGCCAGCCCAAAGCCCAGGCGCAAGCTCCTCCTCACTGCGCAGGCGCGATTAGCCAAGGTCGGGGGGGGGAGGGGAACAGGAATGCGCCTGCGCGACCCGGCGCCTGCGCACACTCCTGGAAAGACGAGCCGACCTGTTTCACCGTCCCGACTCACCGCCATGTTGGTAGTGTGTCACACTGTGGGACGGCGTGAGAAAGGCAGACAGGGAGCAAAGTTGCTGGTGGGGTGTCACACGGCCTATGTATGAGGCAGATTTGAGTTCTGCATCCAGTTTTAGCAATTTATCCATTTATCTGCCCAAGACACTTGGAAACATCTACTTGACAGCCCTGATTCCAGAATTGGCGGATAGAAGGGAGGAGACTCCTGACCCTCAGGATAGTAATGCTGAAATTTTTGGGGTGCCCTGTTATGGCCTTTTCTTTGATCTTACAATATTGTTTTCTCTTAATATTAAACATAACTTTTTAAAAAACCTTTGGCCGGGCGCTGTGGCTCATGCCTGTAAATCCCAGCACTTTGGGAGGTCGAGGTGGACAGATTACAAGATCAGGAGATGGAGACCATCCTGGCCAAAATGACGAAACCCCGTCTTTACTAAAATACAAAAAAATTTAGCCGTGCTTGGTAGCGCGCACCTATAGTCCCAGCTACTCGGGAGGCTGAGGCAGGGAATCGCTTGAACCTGCAGTGAGCTGAGATCGTGCCACTGCACTCCAGTCTCCGTTTCAGAACAAAACAAAACAGAACAAAAAAACAACAACAAACTTTGGACAATTCCAAACATATACAAAAATAGAATAACTACCTTAGAAAGCCTTAACAGTTACTAACATTTTGACAATCTTCATTTCTGTATATCTCTAAACACTACTTCCCTTACTAGTCATAGTTGGAAGCAAATCTCAGACATCCTATCATTTCATCTATCTATCTATTTTTTAACACGGTCTCACTGTTACCCAGGCTGGAGTGCGGTAGCATGATCATAGCTCACTGCAGGCTGAAACCCCTGGATTCAAGCAATCCTGCCTCAGCTTCAAGTAGTTGGGAATACAGGCACAGGCAACTACACCTGGCTTACAATTATTTAAGCATATACTTCTAAAAAATAACTATTATTTGAAAAAAAAAGACTACAGTATCACTATCTCACCTTTAAAAAAATAGTAATTGCTTAGTATTAGACAGTGTTCAAATTTATCCTGTGGTCTTAATAACTACTTATTTTCCTACTGTTCATTTGTTCAAATCAAGATCAAAATGAAATTTATACATTGTCATTGGTTGATATGTCTTTTAGGACCTGCCGAAGACTAAGACCAAAAACACACTAGCAATTGAACAATTTTGTTTATGATTAATTGCAGCAAAAGGGATGCTATGGTTTGAATATGTCCCCCAAAAAGCATGTCTTGGAAATTTAATACCCATTGTAACAGTGTTGGGAGGTGGCGCCCAATGGGAGATGGGGCCTAATGGGAGGGCTCCACCCTCATGAATGGATTAATGCCAAATATGAAAGGGTTTAAGTATTTGATTTCTACCTGTTGCTCTTTCACTCTTGCACTCTCCTGCACATTTACCTTCCACCACCGGATGATAGAACACAAAGCCCCCATAAGGTGTGAAGTCCTTGATCTTGGAATTTCCAGCCTCCAGAACTATCAAATAAATCTCTGTCTTTATTAATTACCCAATCTCAGTTATTCTGTTACAGCAGTCCAGGATGGACTAAGACAGAGGAACGCACACCACGGGAAACCATGAGAAGACTTAATAAGGAGGTGTTAGGATCTGGAACTTGATTGGATGATTTGGAAAATGGAACTGGGGTGCTGAGCGGTTCTACGGTCAGAGGTGTTCAAACTAGAGTGAGTTCATCTTGTGTAGGGACTGGGTAAAATGAGGTGGAAACGTGCTGGACTGCATTCCCAGTCTGGAGTGCAGTGGCACGATCTTCGCTCACTGCAACCTCAGCCTCCTGGATTCAAGCAATTCTCATGCCTCAGCCTCCTGAGTAGCTGGGACCACAGGCACATGCCACCATGACCAGCTAATTTTTGTATCTTTAGTAGAGACAGGGTTTTACCATGTTGCCCAGGGTGGTCTTGAACTCCCAGTCTCAAGTGATCCGCCCACCTCAGCCTCCCAAAGTGCTGAAATTATAGGCATAAGCCACTGTGCCTAGCCTTGCTCAGGTTTTTCTGTTACCATTCCCACCTCCAACTCCTAAACAGAATTATAGACAAGGCAATACTTGCAAGTTCAGATAGTAGACTGTCTGTGTCTGGGAGGCCATTACACAGAGGTGAGAACCCTAACCAGCAAGTTGTTTAGGCCAGCGAGCTTAAAAAGTAAGGGCCAAACCTCTGTACGAGGTAGGGGCTAGTGTAAGAGCCTATGATAAATTCTGGAACGAGGACTTTTGAAATCCAGTTATCTAAAAAACACAGAGCTCAAATGTAAGAACAAACAAAATCATAACTAGCATCAGGTTGCTTTGCACAAGCATCAGAACTAATGCTGTATGATACTGTTTTTTACTTACTAAAAATAAAAGTGAAAAAGACCAATGATGTATACGTGGTTTTATTTTGCAGGTTTTAAGTTTTGGTTGCTGTGCTGGAGGGATAGTAGGATATGCCCAAGTCACCAGCCCCTCCATAAAAGTCTCAGACCCTGAAACTCAAAGGGGCTTCCCTGGACAGCACATACCACACATTCACTGCCAGAGAGAGAAAGAGAGAGTGAAGGAACCCCTGTGTAGTCCCCAGTGGGAAATGCTGAGGAAGCCTGTGCCTGGTCTCTCTGAACTCCCTTGAGGCATATCATTTTCCCACTGCTTTTGCTCTGTAACCTTTGCTATAATGAGCCTTACTATGAATATTATTTGCTGTTCCATCTTGTGAGTCCTTCTACCTAATCACTGAACTTGGGTCATTAGACCTCTGAAACAGAGGGCATGGGAGGAGTTCAGGGAGTACAGGATAGAGGAGGACCTGGTGAGCCTAGGGCCTTGGAAGAAGCTGATCAGGAAAACAAAAGATATTCATTTATCAAGTTGTAATAATTGTGAGAGAAAAAAAAACTGTACTCAGTTTTGGTGATATTGTGGGGAAAAGGGTCATTTTATTATACTAACTTGGGAAAATAAGTCAGTCCAGTTTTTTGGAACTATAATTGTCAACATAAACCCAAAGCCTTAAAATGTACATGAAACTTGACCCAGCAATTCCACTTCTAAATCTAACCTAGAGAAATAATAATGTATAGCTAAAGACTTTAATTACAAAAATGTTCATCAGAATGTTATTTTATAAATTTATAAATCAGAAACAATCTCAGTTTCCAACACCAAGTTAAATAAATCATGGTTTATTAATTTGGTGGCATTTTAACAACCATTAAATGACTTACAAGTTTTTATATATGTGTAAGCTATATGCAGAATAATATACAAAGAACCAAAAAGTGGTTGATTCCTGAGAGAACAGACAACAAAGCAGCTAGGGAACAGAGATGGCAGAGAAGTCATTCTTATGGCATAAGTAACTTTTGTATTTAAAAATTTTGTCCTGTTGTCATGTTACACTTATTCAAAAAGCAAATAAAATAAACGTTTTAGAATTCAATGAAAAATAAAGTGCTCAACATAGAGTGTTAAGAAAAAAATTGGGCTGGGCGTGGTGGCTCACGCTTGTAATCCTAGCACTTTGGGAGGCCGAGGTGGGTGGATTACCTGAGGTCAGCAGTTCAAGACCAACCTGGCCAACATGGTTAAACCCCGTCTCTATAAAAAAAAAAAAAGAAAGAAAGAAAGAAAGAAAGAAAGAAAAAAACTGGATTATGAAACAGTAAAGTGTTACTATATTATTTATATATTTTTTAAAGTACATAAAAAGGAAAATATGGATAAAAATGTTTTGCTTGGCTATATTTCCTGCTAAACATATGGTATTTTGGTATAAGAAAAAAAAGATAGCTGAGCATGGTGGCACACACCTGTGATCCCAGCTGCTCAGGAGGCTGAGGTGGGAGGATTGCTTGAGCCCAGGTGGTCGAGGCCACAGTGAGCCAATGACTGTACCACTGCACTCAAGCCTGGGTGACAAAGCAAGATGCCATCTTTTTTTTTTTTTTTTTTTCAGGTTTTCATCTTTTTATTTATTTATTCATTCGAGACAGGGTCTTGCTCTGGTGCCCAGGCTGGAGTGCAGTGGCGCGATCTCAGCTCACTGAAGCCTTGGACTTCGGGGCTCACGCATCCTCCCACCTCATCCTCCCGGGTAGCTGGGACCACAGGCACCACCACCACGCCCAGCTAATTTTTGTATTTTTGGTGGAGCTGGGGTCTCCCGATGCTGCCCAGATGACACGGTTTTATTTAAGTGAATCATTTCCCTTTGGATTTCGTGGTGAGGTCCACGCAGGCAAAGTGAAACCACTCAATTGGACAGTCTGGATTGTCACAGCCGATCATCTCCCCGTAGGAGACCTGGTGGCACAGGCAGTAGGTGGGTTCGTTGGGGTCCACGAGCATGTCTAGCACGTCGGACGGGTGCACGGACAGGATGGCGTCAGTGAACTCAGACCCTCCTTTATGCTTCTTTTTCTTTGGTGTGTCTTCCTCTGATGTCCTCCTGCCTCGGCCCTGGGACCCTCTTTTTTCTTTCTGACCCCGGCCTTTTTTTAGTCCTCGCCCTCCGGAGCCTTCGAAGTCACTGCCCTCCATCTTGTCCTTCAGATCAGCTTCGAAGCGTGCCAGGTCTGCGTCAAGCCTTCAAATGTGTTTATCCACCATCTCATAGGTCTGCATGGCCAGCTGCACTTTGTCATTGCTGTATTCCTTGCACTTGCTGTAGGCGTTCTGGATCTTCTGCAGGCGCTCTACGCGCTGGTCTGGAGACAGCGTCTTCACCGTGGAGATGTACTCTGCAGCCAGGATGTCAATCTCTGCTTTCTTATCTTCCGTCCTCTGGTCCAGCTCTCGCATCAGCTGGAAGTTCCTCTGAAGTTCGCAGGGAAGGTTCTCGATGCTGTCCAGATAGTGCTCCAAGTACATGGCGGTCGCTATCTTCGTCCGCAGCCGCGCTCGGGGTCCAAGATGCCATCTTTAAAAAAAAAATTTGGCCAGGCCGGTGGCACATGCCTGTAATCCCAGTACATACCAAGGAGGGGAAGATCACTTGAGTCCAGGAGCTCAAGACCAACTTGGGCAACATGGTGAAACCCTGTCTCTACAAAAAATATGAAAATTAGCCAGGCATGGTGGTGCACACCTGTAGTCTCAGCTACTGAGGAGGTTGAGGCAGAAGGATTATTTGAGTCAGGGAGTTCAAAGCTGCAGTGAGCCATGATCACACCACTGCACTCCAGCCTGGGTGACAGCGAAAGATACTGTCTAAAAAAAAAAAAAAAAGAATTTTTTAAAATAAATAAAAATTTTAAAAGAAAAAATAGAGAAGTAGAAAACAAAAATCTCCTCAGGTCTTAGTGGCTCCCAGCTCAGAGCCAGCAGTCTTGGTGTGGTTGGCCACTATCTCTTCCTCTTCTAGGGAACAGGGGGATGTCTAGAAACAAACCAAAGAGCTAGGTCAGAGGGAGCTGGAATTTCAGTAGCTTCTATGCATGGTTGACTTTATGGGTATGTGACCTATGTAGTCACACAGGACCCTGCAGTTGGTTTAATGCTCTGTTGTCACAGTTTTGAAATGCTTAATAATTTTGAATAAAGAACTTCGCCTTTTCATTTTGCATTGGGAGCTGCAATTATGAAGCCAGTCCTATTTATATGCCCAAGGCTGATCATTTCTCTACCACCATTAATATGACCAAACTGTCCATCTGAAATTCCTTGAAAAAGTTGTTCACTGCCAGTGTTTAAAATGCAAATGTCTGCTCGAACTTTGTGATCTAAATGTATTATTTCAATCAATAAATTATGAGCCAGGCGTGGTAGCTCACACCTGTAATCCCGAACTTTGGGAAACAGAGGAGGGAGGATCGCTTGAGCCCAGGAGTTTAAGACCAGCCTGGACAACATGATGAGACTCTATCACTACAAAAAAAAAATCAAACGTTATTTTTTGAGACAGTCTTGTTCATTGCCCAGGCTGGAGTGCAAGAGTACAGTGGCACGATCTTGGCTCATTGCAATCTCCACTTCCAAGGTTCAAGCGATTCTCTTGCCTCAGCTTCTCGAATAGCTGGGATTACAGATCCGCATCACCACACCCAGCTAATTTTTTTGCATTTTGTAGGAGAGGTGGAGTTTCGCCATGTTGGTTAAGCTGATCTCCAACTGCTGGCCTCAAGTGATCAACCTGCCCCAGCCTCCCAAAGTGCTGGGATTGCAGGCATGAACCACCACACCTGGCCTACACATTTTTTTTTTTTTTTTATTTAGCCAGGCATGGTGGCATGTACCTGTAGTTGCTGTTACTCAGGAGGCCGAGGTGGAAGAATTGCTGGAACCCAGGATGTTGAGGCTATAGTGAGCCATGATCATGCCACTGCAATCTAGCCTGGATGACAAACAAAGACCCTGTTTTAAAAAAAAAAAAAGTATGAATGTATTATTTCAGATGTGACTGGTGGAGTGGAAGAGGAGCCACAAGCTAGGGACTTCAGGTTCCCTAAATGGGGACCAGATGTCCCTGCTGAAAAGAGGGAAGAAGATGCAAAAACAAAACAGAGTGGCCACAAAGATTCTCTCCAATGAGATCACAATTCTAGGATTTGCTCTTTAGCTTCAATGAACATAGTCAAACAAAACTGACTGGAGGTAATTTTGCCCAATAGTGTAAAGGCGAAAAGCTCTACTTTGCCAGGACTGAGACTCTAAAAATACAGCTGAATTTACTTTCAAAAGGAATTTGAGTCCTAAAAGGTTTATGGATGTATTCCCAATTACATAGTGCCTGATTTGCAACTACTCCCGGTGTAAATCCCTGGGTTACCCATTCCTGGGTTACCTGTTTTTCTCACTTCCAAGAGTACTCATTCCCAATTCTCCACTCGATCCTCAAACAAGAAACTGAGGAGGCGTCCTGGGTGATGGCTCCCACTCAGTTGCAATGTCTCTCCCTCACTGCCCCCTTTCCTTCCCTCTTTCTCTGTTCCTTTCATGTATATCTCTTTCTCCATAATGCCTTTCTCTCTTTCTCTCCTCATTTCCAGTTTTTGTTTAATGATCTTAGAAAAATCTGTTTTCCTTCTTTCCCTCCCATTATTTTGTTTGTAAACACTGGATGACCTCAATCATGGTTAAGCTTGAGAATGGTGAAATTTGTACCAGGGGAAAGAGAAGATAAGCTTATATGCTTATCATAAAGAATCAGTATTTAAAGCACAAAAAGCATCCTTGGGAATCACCTAAAAATGATTTTCCTGTACTTTTTCCTTCATTTTAATCTGATTTTTCTAAAATAAAAAAAGTATTCAAACTTTCAACAAGAATTTTCATTCTATTTTCTAATTTCTTATTCTAGCACTAATTTTTAAATATTAAATAATTTTTAAAAGATAATTTTTGGGAGTTTTAGGTTCACAGCAAGATTAAGCAGAAAATACACATTTCCCACATACCCACTGCATGCATAGCCTCCTTACTGTCAACATCCCCCACCAGAATGTGACAGTTGTTATAAAGGATGAACCTACCTTGACACATCATAATCAAAGTCCGTAGTTTACATTAGGGTTCACTGCTGGTGTTGTATATTCTATGGATTTGGATACATGTTTAATGACATGTATCCATTATTACAGCATCATGCAGAATATTTTCCCTGATCTAAAATATTTTCTCTCCCCACTAATCCCTGACAGCTGATCTTTTCATTGTCTCCACAGTTTTGTCTTTTTCAGAATATTATATAGTTGAAGTCATACAGCATGAAGCCTTTTCAGATTGGCTTCAGTTAGTAATATGTATTTAAGTTTCTTCTGTCTTTTCATGGCTTGATAGCTTGTTTCTTTTTAGTCCTAAATATATTCCATTGTCTGGATGTCTCATGGTTTATTCACCCATTGAAGGACATCTTGGCTGCTTCCAAGTTTTGGCTATTAAAAATGTTTGCTATAAATATATGCAAGTTTTTGTGTAGACTTAAGTTTTCCACTCCTTTAGGTAAATACTAAGGAGTGCTATGCTGCATTGTGTGTTAAAAGTCCAGTAAAAAACTATACTTTGTTTGGTAAGAAACTGCCAAACTGTCTTCCAAAGAGGCTGTACCATTTTGCATTCCCACCAGCAATAAATGAGAATTCCTGTTGCTCCACATCCTCATAAGCAATTTTTTTTTTTCTTGGTTTTGGCTATTCTAATAGGTCTAAAGGGGAATTTGACTATTGTTTTAGTTTGTATTTCCCTGATGATGTATGATGTGGAGCATCTTTTCATGTGGTTATTTTCTATCTGTATATCATCTTTGGTGAGATGTCTGTTAAGGTCTTTGGCCCATTTTTTAATCAAACTTATCTTTATAAACAACTTTTATATGCTTTTAAACAAATGTTAAAATTCATTTATTTAAAGTTTAAAATTCACCTTTAGTATATAAATTGGCAGGGCGCAGGCTCACACCTGTAATCCCAGCACTTTAGGAGACCAAGGCAGGAGGATCACGAGGTCAGGAGTTCAAGACCAGCCTGGCCAACATGGCAAAACCCTGCCTCTACTAAACATACAAAAATTAGCCGGGTGTGGTGACATATGCCTGTAGTCCCAGCTACTTGGGAAGCTGAGGCAGCAGAATCACTTGAACCCAGGAAGCGGAGGTTGCAGTGAGCCGAGATCGTGCCATTGCACTCCAGTCTGGGTGACACAGTGAGACTGTCTCAAAAAATATGTGTGTGTGTGTGTGTGTGTGTGTGTGTGTGTGTGTGTATGTATAAAGTTGTTTTCTTACTGTGGAGTTCTAAGATTTCTTTGTATATTTTGGATAATACCCCTTTACCAGATACATCTTTTGTAAATATTTTTGTGGCTTTTCATTCTCCTGAAAAATTAAGTAATTTTAAACTACTTCATTTTTTAAATTTTTTTGGAGACAGTTTCATTCTTATTGTCCAGGCTGGAGTGCAACGGCGTGGTCTCAGATCACTGAAAGCTTTGCCTCCTGGGTTCAAGCAATTCTCCTGCCCTCAGCCTCCCTAGTAGCTGGGATCACAGGCTCCCGTCACCACTCCCAGCTAGTTGTTTTTTTTTTTTAATGGAACGCTTCACGAATTTGCGTGTCATCCTTGCACAGGGGCCATGCTAATCTTCTCTGTATCATTCCAATTTTAGTATATGTGCTGCCGAAGCGAGCATTAATTTTTTTTTTTAAAGACGGAGTCTCACTCTGTCACTCAGACTGGAGTGCAATGGCACGATCTCGGCTCACTGCAACCTCAGCCTCCTGGGGTCAAGCGATTCCCTGCCTCAGTCTCCTGAGTAGTTGAGATGACAGGTGCTTGCCACCACACCTGGCTAATTTTTGTGTTTTTACAAAACACAAGGCAGGGTTTCACCATCTTGGCCAGGCTGGTCTTGAACTCCTGACCTTGTGATCCACCTGCCTCAGCTTCCCAAAGTGCTGCGATTACACGCTTGAACCACAGCGCCTGGACTTTTTTTTTTTTTAATGAGTCTATACCCAGTTTTTGCATTTAAGGTTTTCACAGGCTTGCCTCAACACCAATGACAATTTATAATATTCTTTCAATGGGAAAATATTCCTCTTTGCAAATAGTTGACATAAATAAACAAACTGCTGGAAAGTGATTCATCTGCACCAATAAGAGACCACTATTACAGAACAAGTTTAGGAGGCAGGTGGGAGTAAGTGATGGCGAAAGGCTGAAGAGGATTAATTCATGGAGTTTGATAATGAGAAAAGACAGACTGGACAATAGAGTAAGACCCTGTCTCTAAATAAATAAATAAATAAGTAAATAAATAAATAAACAGCAGTAACCCAGGCTACTAAAATGGCAAGTGTTAAGTGAGTGAACATATTTTCCAGTTATGTTCTAAAATTTTGAATTCCTCATTAATTTCCCTATGCTCAAGATCTTTAGAACCCTCTAGTGGCCACATGAGGAATTGG